AAAGTGGAGGAAGATGGGCACAGATGTTAGCCCAGGGCCGTCTTCCTCAGCAAAAAAAGAGGAGGATTGGCGGATGTTAGCACAGGGCTGATCTCCTCACCAAAAAAAAAAAAAAAAAAAAAAAAAAAAGATTCATATGTGTGAAATTAGAAGGTATTTATGAAATCTTAATTTATATTTATGAAAATTTTTATTACCAAACTCAGAATTGGAAATTTACACTTTTGAGTTTTCAATTTTCAGAAGTGTGTTTTTTAAGCAAACTAGAATAGAATGATTAGATATAAAAATGGGATTTGAAGAATTGACTGAGGTATACAACCCAATAGCATAAATATCCTTTTAACTAACTTGGTAACGCTGTTATATTTGGAAGATTCGTCTTCTTAAAAAAGTATAAAACATAAGTGTTATATTGCTTGGTATTACATTTCCTACAGATTTTTGTATGGTCTATTTGATTAATCTTTGTAATATTAAAAACATATATACTTTTTTTTTATTACTCACAAAGTCTTGGTTTTTGGCATTTTATTTTGAACCAGAATAATAGAGAATAAGTATAATAATTTAAGTCTGTTCTGTTGACTTAGGTTAAGATTATAAGCACATATTTTTCCTGATTCCATAAGGAATCTAGTATCTAGAGGATTGGAAAGCATCCTTGCATTTGTCACTTTCTCCCCAATCCCTGGGAAGACGCTAGAGGTCTTCAACTGCACATTTACTTCTTTTGTTTCCTAAAGAAAAAAGCCCCATTTAGCCAGTTGACGTGTGTAAAGTTTTAGTAATCGTAGATCATTATCCAATTTATTTCAAATAGAAGAGCTGTAAGATATATCCGTGTCTGTCAATGCCGCTTTTTCTCCTCAGCTAATTGGCATCTTCCTGATCATTTGCTTGCATCTCTCACCAAGAGTGTTGAATAATATCAAATGGAAATGGAAATTTCTTAGTGTTTGGAATAATTAAAAAGAATATTTTATTTAGAAATTTCAGGGACTTAAAATGTATATGAGTTAAACTAGATTGACAAGGATGGTTGTTGAGAGGTGACATCTTCGATCAATAGCTTTTTAGTCTGATTAGTTGTATAAATGGACATGTGTACATCACAGTTGGTACTAAAAACAGCAAGAGGATCATGAGATACTCAGAACTGGGTTAATTAGTCAGAATCAAAATCTGCTTTGGAAGCCAGGGCAGTTTGCTAAAAGTGATATATTGGAGACATAGTAGACTATAATTACTCTTAGACCTGTGGTAATAGATAAAGCAGCTTCTTCCAGGACGTAGAAGTGCTGTGAACTTACATAAATATATTGTGGGCAGGGCCAGCCCCAGTGGCCTAAGTGGTTAAGTTCAGCACGCTCCCCTTTGGCAGCCCAGGCCCAGTTCCTGCGTGCGGACCTATACCACTCGTCTGTCAGTGGCCATGCTATTGTGGAGGCTCACATGCAAAAAGAGGAAGATTGGCAACAGATGTTAGCTCAGGGCGAATCTTCCTCAGCAAAAAAAAATATATATATATGCATAATATATGTATTATAAATACATATATAAATATATATATGTGGTATAAAAAGACAGAATTGTCGTGTGAATGTGACAGGATGTGAAGACTCATCCCCTTCTCTTAAAGGGGAGTTAGAAATGAAGTATCTTGGAAAGAGCTATGGCCTGGGTATCAGATGCCTGGGTTCTGGTTCCAGCTTAGATTCCAAAAATATGAGTGATCGAGGATTAAATTAGTTTCCCGAGTCTCAGTTTTCTTGTTTAAAATCAAGAAACTTGAGTATGATTTTAAAAATCTGTTCCAGCAGTAACATTAACTTCTACGTGACCTTATCCATTTCCATGGCTTCAAATACCATGTATTATTATACATTCTGTAAAGTGCCTCTGATTCTTACCTTTCTAACCTCTATTGCTCCCTTGAACTCCAGACTCATATACAGTAGTCCCTCCTTATCCGAGGGGGATACGTTCCCAGACCCCCAGTGGATGCCTGAAACCACTAATAGTACCAAACTCTGTATATGCTGTTTTTTCCTGTGCTACATACATATTTGAGGTATGACAGCAAAACTAGCACAAATTTCTTTTTCCTTCACAATTTCACAGACAGAAGACTCATCCTTACTGTAGATCTTAGCCAACCTCAGCATACAAGTTTTTTCTTTCCTTATTAAGTTGAAAACTTTCATCTTTTCACTTACAGGAAGTACTTTACGGCTTCTCTTTGTCATGTCTGAATTGCCAGCATCACTACTACTGAGATTTGGGGCCATTATTAAGTAAAATAAGGGTTACTTGAACACAAGCACTGCAGTACTGTGACAGTCGATCTGATAACCCAGATGGTCACCAGAGGACACTGAAACCTAGGAAGGAGAAACCGCGGATAAGGGGGGACAACTGTATCCCCTTATGTAGCCGGTATGGCCTGTATATCTAGTAGACATCTCAAACATCACATCACTGAAACAGAACGACTGATTTTTCTCTCCCCTCCCCCCACCAAATCTGCTGCTCCCACGCCTTTCTCATCTCCCTAAATTCACAACAATCCATAGTACCTCTGTTCAAAACCTGAGAGTCATCATTACTCCACCCTTTCCCTCACAGTTCACACTCAATTTATCAATTACTGTTTGGAGTGCTGCCTCCGGAATACAGCCAGAATCTGACCACTTCTCAGTGTCTCCGCTGTTTAAGTCACCAGTGGTTTCCTATTTCTTTTAGACTGAAAACCATACTCCTTACCTTCAACCAACATACAAGCAATTTACAGTGGCTCTGATACCTGACCCTCATTGGTGTCCATTTTGTCACATAATCGCTCAGGCCTTCCTTACCCTTGGGGTGGACTGCACTGCTGCCACAGGTGGGCAGTAAGCCACAGAGGAAGAGTAGAAGCTTGTCTTGGAGTCTTAACTCGGTTTCATTTTTTTTAAAAACCAAATTTCTTGAGGTAAAATTTACATACACTAAAATGCATCAATTTAATGTGTACAGTTCAATGAATTTTGACAAACGTATCTTCAACCAACGACCGCCACAATCAAGATATAGAACTTTTCTATCATCCTGATATGTAAGAAAGTAAAATAGTACAGAGGCATGTAAATAGGAGAGCTTCTCCCCAACTCCATTACAGCTTTCTGCTAAAGCAACTCAACATTTTTGTGTGTATTCCATCAGGCAAGCGGTTCTCAAGCTTGACTGTACTTCAGAGTCCCCTAGGAAGCTTGAACATTCCCAATGCACAGGTAGCACTCCAAACCAATTAAATCAGAATATCAGGATGGAACACAAGTATCTGTATTATGTTTTTAAAGCTTCCAAGTGCAAGCAATATTGAGAACCATTATAATCTTGAGAATGTATTTTTCGCTCTTCGTCCTCTTCTCAAGTTAACTCCTACTCAGTCTTCAAATCTCACCTCAAAAGTCACTTCCTCAGGGAATTCTTTTTCTGAACCCCTCTCCTACGGTGGAATCTCTTTCTTGTTGTATTACAACTACTTGTGTTTTTAGTAATGTCTATATTCCCCCTAGCCTGTAAGCTCCCCGCGATCTAGCGCATGCCTGACACGTAACAATATATATAAATGAATGAATGTATAAATGAATGAGAGTGAATGGAGATGTTTGTAGCATCTCTTAGCGCAGGTTAAGGCAGACGTCAGTACACGTCCAGGACAGCTCGTGGATGCACATGGCGCGTTGGTGGACCTTGCAGAAAACACTCTCCCAAAACCCTCAAGGCTGATGCGCCGCCCTCCAACGCACCAACGCGAGGGGGCTTCCCTGGCCGTGCACAGAAAACGCGCCTTGGCACCTTCTTTCTGCGCGGCCGGCGGTGTGCGGCCTCCAGCCGAGAGGCGGCGCTGTGGAGAGGCAGCAGCTTCCGGTCCGCTTCTTCCTTCCTTCTGCCGTCAGCGCCAGCGCGTCCTGTTTTCGTTGGCCGCGCTGGGATGGCGGCCGCCGCTGTAGCTGCTGCCTCCGCTTAGTGCTGCTTCTCGCACGGCGAACGGAGGGCAGCGCGGCCTCCTCCTTTGTCCGGTTGTCCTGCGCGTGGTCCTGAGGGGCGCCCCTTCTGGCGGCCGGCAGCATGGGCCGGGAGTCACGGTGAGGTGGCGCGGCGGGCGAGCGGCTTCCTGAGAGTGGGGGAAGAGGCGGGAGTTGAGGTGGCCGCGGCCCGGCGCGGCCCCACGTGAGGCCAGCGCTGCCCGCGGCCATTGGAGGGGCTGGGAGACCTCGGCTGAGGAGGTGGCTGTACTTGGGCTGGCGACGGTAGTGCCATCGCTGGGTTCGAGCCCCTGGAGCGGGAACACCCCTCCAGGACATCAGTGGTTGGGCACCACATCCCGCCACTTCCGCGGAGCCTGCCCTGGTGGCCTCGTCAGTAGTGATCCCAGTTGAATTTCTTACCGCTTCGCCTTTGCAACATTTCATTGGAGCCCATCGCTCTCTATTTGAGTTCTTTGTGCGTGTGTGATATCTTCCCAAGTCAGCTGAAAGGAACGTGTGGACAAACATTTTTACATCACCTACACCACTCTACGTTTCTAGGCTTTTATTGGGCTACAATAAATACTATTGTATGGACATTTATTTTGCAAATAGACCATATTTGTTATGTTTTCTATCCTTT